CCCTCTGTCACTGGCCACTAGGCCACTTATTCCAATGCAGGGCCATACACAGGTTCCCCCATATTTCCTGGTGCCCTACTCAGCGGCATGTTGCATATGCCACGGCGCCAACTCTGGCAGCCGGCCCCTCCCCCGCCGAGGGTCTGTGGGCTGCCCACCCCCGCAGTCACTGGCACTTCTCACCAGCTGTTTTCCCTTCCAGTGGAATGGGAAACGGTCACTCGTCACGGGCTGGCTGCACATCTACCCCCCGTTCTGTCTCTGGCCCACAGCTCATCGTGCCATTCGCAGGCTGGCACCTGCACCTCCCACCTGCTCCTCCCTGTCTATCTCCAGCCCCCAGCAGCCCTGGCCCTGCCCCCCACAGCTCCTGCCTCCGTGGCCCTGCCACCCTGAGGAACTCCCCCTTTGTGGAGAGGCCAGCTACCCTGCCGAGCGCCTCAGACTGCACACAGCACCCTGTTTTGTAAGTGTGGTGCTGTTCCAGTGCCCAATCACCCTGACAGGAAGTTTTTCCCGGCATGCAACCTAAACTGCCCTTGCTGCAATTTAAGCCCGCTGCTTCTTGCCTTATCCTAACAAGAACCATTTTTCCTCTCTCTTTCTTGCAACAACCTTTGAAATGGGAAGCTGGCAGATGCACAAGACTAGCCTCACACAGTCAACGTGCACAAGTATCACCAAAATGAGCGAATCCCCAGCCTTGTAAATATATTTATGCACCTTCAATGTATTCATCCAGGCAGCACTGTGAGTCCAGATACCCCTGATCCGAACCTTTTGCACATTCTTATCTACTCTCACAGGGCCAAAGCCATGCCACAGAGGAGGAGGGTCCAGAACAGCTCCAGTACCTCTAGCAATGGAAGGATAGATGGAGGCTTTATCAGTGTTGGGATCAGAATGTTGCTAGCTACACAGCTATTCCTAGTGGGGTTCTAGAATCCTTTCCTCGCCCAGTAAAGATGATTTTGCCAGAGAAAAAACTTAAGAGTGTGGGTGGGTGAGGATGTGGGGGTGGGGGTGTCTAAGGAAGAAAAAAATCTCTTCCCACACCCTGTCAAGGAAACATGCCAGAATCTTAGTCTCCATTGCAAACTATGGGTGACTAGGGTAGTCTGGATTTCTAAAATCGCTGTGACTGGCTCTAAGAGGGGAAGTGGTGGAAAACATTGCCCATGATGGTCAGGACTGGCTGCTTTTGGCAAGTCTATCCAAGGTCAGACACAGAAAAGAACCAGAAATTGGCTATTACCCTGCCACCAGCTCCTGAGTTTATTTTTTAACCTACAGGGTGGGTTCACCATTTTCAGAAGTGGCAGATGAGAGGCAGAGAAGGATTAAATAAAAGACACAGTCAGGAGATCAAAATACTGCACTCTAACATACCCCCCTCCCAGGGCTGTCCAGGAAGGTGTAACATCTGAGCTAAAGTTTCAGGTGGGTGCCTACAGAAAGGGCCTGATACTCTAGAATGGAAGACAGCCAGTTTTCAGGTATCTAAAAGGGTGTCACAAGGAGTAGGGAGAAAACTTGTTCATCTTGGCCTCTGAGGACAGGACAAGAAGCAATGGGCTTAAACTGCAGCAAGGGAGGTTTAGGTTGGACATTAGGAAAAAGTTCCTAACTGTCAGAGTGGTCAAACACTGGAATAAATTACACAGGGAGGTTGTGGAATCCCCATCTCTGGAGATATTTAAGAGCAGGTTAGATAAATGTCTATCAGGGATGGTCTAGACAGTATTTGGTCCTGCCATGAGGGCAGGGGACTGGACTTGATGACTTCTCGAGGTCCCTTCCAGTCCTACTATTCTATGATTCTATTGTGTGCTTTCAGGAAACTAAGGCGTACACAACCACACAGGGTTACTTTAGAACAGTGGACATCACATGCTACATAACGCAGCAAATAAAATCCCCACTTCATCACATTTACACCAGCACTCTAAAGATCATTGCAGAATGTTTCATTAGGAATTGTCAGCAGTTGTTCCATATTTATTACTGCAAGTTTCTATAACGAACTCTGTTTTGCTAACCCACTCACCTTCCCTTCCTTCCAAAAAAAATTGCAGCGGGGCGCAGCAGCACAGTGTGTGTGTGTGTGCGTGTGTATTCCTCTTGCAGAAATCTCCCAGGACACGGGGACAGGAGGGAGGAGAAGGGAAGGGGGGGGGGCGATGGAGCCCAGACTCTGCTTTTCCAGAGGGATCTGGACCCGCACCCAACCGCTCCAGCCCTGGCTCCATCCTCGAGTGGCCGGGGCGAA